TTTGAGTTATATTATTTTTGTATATGATAAATATATGCTATGTTAAAAATATAAACTTATTTAATTTTGATAATTTCAGTACTTTCGGTTTGGTATCAGTATTGCAAAGTTTTGTACCAAAAATTTTCGGTAATTATTGGTACCAATACCGAAAAATATTTTCGATATCGATTTTATAAAATACTGTATTGAATAGTACTGATCGGAACTCTAGCCTGACTAAAACCCTATTGAAAACATTTGACAAGTGTTGAAATTAAACCTGGCAAAAAAAAAAATTCGATTAGTTAACCATTTAAAAATATTAATAGAGAAAGAATGGAACAATTTCTTACTTAAATTTGCTGCCAAATTAGTAGGCAGCATGAATTGTCATGTAGAGTCTTTAATAGAAGTGCAGGAGGACTACACAATGTACTGAAAATCAGCATTAGTAATGTAATTTTTAAAAAAAAAAAGTTTATTAAATTTACTTAACTTTATAGGAGTTAAAGGAGGTCGGTTACTTACAATGAAAATCATAAGTCATCGACCCACCTCTAACTTTCTGAAAATGAAATGTATTACCTTAAAATTTTGTGTATACGAAGGATAATATGAATACTAATTGGCATGCCATTTATAGGTTAGTATCTTGTCTTTATCCAGAATTAAAAGTTATTTAAACTTCCATGACCAAAAATAACTTTGCTGATTCATAAGCAATACAAAATCATCTTTTTGCATTATCATCCCTTAGGACCGAAGTTAGGACTTAAAGATACAGTTAAATATGTTGGTTGTACTAAAAGTATAGTGGCTTTTTGGTCTCAAAGATGGAAAAAATCAGAGAATTTGAGCGACAATAAAATAACTGGCTGGTTGCGCAAACAATCTTAAAGCAAGATCAAGTAATTGTTCAAATTGCAAAGAAAAAAATGGATCCAAGTATTATTGAAATTCAAAAGCAAATAAAAAAATGAAAGATTGAGATTAGTTTAAGTACAATTAATCAATGTCTTCATGAATTTGGGAGAAAATATATGAACAAATTGTCTAAACCTTTACTTACCAAAAAGTATCAACAAAAACACTTGCAATGGACAAAAAAGCACCAAAATTTCGATTAGAATAATGTTATTTTTCAAATGAAAGCATCATTTGCTTATACCAATCTACAAGAAAAGTATGACAGTTTCTTAGAAGAAGAAAAATATTCCGTAACATCAAGTATTCATTAAAAGTGAATGTGTGAAACTGTTTTTCGACTTCGGGCTTTGACAAGTTAATTTACTTTCAACAAAATCTCAATGCTGATTTTATGGTTTCTATTTATAAAAGAAATCTTTTACCCTTTGTCTTTAAGCTTTATGGCGATAATTATATAGGTTGAATCTTACAAGAAGACAATAATCCTAAGCATTGCTCCAAACTGGCAAGCAAATGAAAGGAAAAAAATAACATTGAGGTTCTATTCTAGCCAGCAATATTATTGGACCAAAATTTGATTGAAAATATTTGAAGATTGGTGAAAATTAATATAGCAAAAAAAAAAAATTACCATATATCACTGCATACAATACTCCAAATATTAATCAATTTACCCCCTAATAAATTGATTAATACCTGAAGAGATATTTTACTAGAAGGTAGTATTAGTGACAGGATATATCATTACTATAAAATTCAAAATACGTACTAGTCTTATTTATTATTATATTAATATACCTGGGTAATAATCAATTATCAAGCAACAATTTTCTTGAATACTACCTGGTATTATTAGTGGGGGGGTAGTATTTGAGGGAGGTATTGTATGCAGTGGTATACGGTAGTACGCTTAAAAAATTAAAGGCCGAATTAAAAAAAGAATGGAACAACTTACCTATTGATCTTGTACAGAATTTGGTCTGCAGTATGAAACGTCGTATAGAGGCTTTAATCGAAGCAAATGGTGACTTCACTATGTATTAATAATTAGGTTAGACGACGTATTTTTTAAATTAAATTTTGTGTTACCTCTGTATTAAATTAGGGGTGGGTCAACGATTTATGATTTTCACTGTATGTCCGCTACTGTATGTGTTTTCGCGTCGCGTAATCCAGATCTATTTAGCCTGTAACACTAGCAAAAGAATTGTTTTGCAACACGTTTCAATGATCAAGATGTGTAGGACCATTCGCTAAATGACCATTTGACATGGAGATGTGTCTGTTTTTGTTTGTGTTAAGATCGATTACCTTTTTTGATTCTTATATATATAAAAATCCGGTCTCATGATTCTAGACCTCTTTTTCCTTCTTTATTGTGGGCATAAAAAGTCCATTATCGGCAACACGGAAGACACAAGTCGACATCTGAAAATAAAACGTCTTCGGAAAAGGACAACACGGCAGCCCTTTTCTCCTATTGCCAATGTACAGGTCTTGACATCACGGAAAAAATTTATCTACAAAAAACATTGAAAAGATGAAGCCTTTTTGGACAAAGGAAATGGCAGCCGCTCTACCCGACCGCAAGATTGTTATTGGACAAAAAATAGTCAGAAAGACGAATGCCTATGATGAAGAATATGAAGAGTATAAGAAGGAGGAGTCTGAAGAGGAGGAGAACGAGGAAGAGTGTGAGGAGGAATATGAATATTATGATGAGGATGGATATGAGGAGGAGGAAGAGGACGACGAATCCAATCGCACCCATCACGATTACACATTGGGAGAAGCAATACTCTTTGCTCAACCCACAAAAAATATTTCTTTGAGGTCAAAAGATTTTCTTTCTCTTGCCAAATTCAAACAGACGACATCTTCCATGGGATCAGAAGATTTTCCTTCCCTCCCTCCGACACAAAAAAAAACTGCTCCCGGAAAAAAGGAAAATACAACTTCCTTCCCCCAGCAGTACAATGTTGCTATCCAATCCACAAAGAAGATGACTCCTTTGTCTTCGGAAAATTTCTCTCTACCAAATCTCCACTATAATATCCAAAACCGACCTGGAAAGATAACGCAATCAGCTTCTCACGGTCCACCTAACAAGAAAAAAGGACAGAAAATTTTTGAAATTGTCCGTAACCTAGTTGGACGTGATGAATATGTATACGGTTATTGGCAATGTCATAAATGCAAATTCGAATGGACAGAATTGTATAATCAGCCATCTCTTCAAAAGTGTTTAAAGCAAACCCAAGAAAATTTGTACACCAATTTCAACAAAGTTTGCCAAGATTGCCGCAAAAACAGTTTTATAACGAGTTTCCGCTTGCATACGCATTCACTATCGGTAAATTCTCGTATCGTTCCCATCACCGAGATCATTGTTCACCTACAATGGGAAAAATATTATCGGGTGTTTGGCGAATGGGAATGCCCCGAGTGTCAAAGGGAGTGGCAAAGCGCTTATACTTGGATATCGCTCCAAAGGTTTATCAAGAAAATTCCAGGACACCAGTTGACTCCAGAAAATTATTGCATGCAAGCGTGCAAGAACAACCAATGCAAGAAAGACTCTAAAAGCAACATTATATTCTATAAACCGCTGGACATGGGGGAGGGCTCTGAACATAAAAGAAAATTATGTGCAAAGTGTCTGAGTGGTGACTTTTGTGTTGAAAGTGGTTACTACTTGGGCTACGAGAAATAAATCTAATCAACAGATCTTTATATTTTGTCATCATTATTTATTTATTTTAACGAAGTCATATATGTATATTTACTTACCCATTTCTTTTAATCCAAATAAATGCGTCATTCTTATTTCATGGTCCAAGTACAAATCATTGAAGCTGCCATAGCCGGTTGAACCACGGTTCTGTGTACACGTGATTTAATGCGATCAATACTTGGCTTGTTTTTTAATAACAGGATCTGTGTACAATCGTTAATTACTCGTCCCTTTTGTTGGTTACTGAAAACATTGTGCCAGAGTGCTTGCTCTCAGCTCAGCTCACTCTGATTGCGGGCATCATTCCAACCGACATTTATTGTATACTTACTAGAGAAAACATAATTAATCAACGTTCATCTTATACAGTATATCATCATTTTAGTTGATACCGGCGGCCTCAATTGAGGTGAGAGCAAATGGCTGATTCTTTTTGAAAACAACAAAAATATTATATACGATTTTTTGATCCCTATTTTTTGAATAATACATATACAATAGAAATTCTAGGAGTACAATTATAAAGTCAAAAATCCCTGTCCGCCTTCAAAAAGAATTACCCAAATACAGTTAAATATTTTAAATGACGTGTTATTTATATGTGTAAGAAAGTATGAATTATGACGACAATAACTTGGGAGTGTATAAAGTAATTATTTATATTTTTATTAAATATCAATTTACAATACATATTATAGAGTGAAACGTGTATAAAAGATGATCGGTGGCGCTAACACACCAGGAAATCGAGCAAGCCAGGATAGAATCGTTTCTTCTTTTTACCTCATCGCAAAATTTATACGCACCCTCCCATCATACTCTAATTTCAATATATCATAATGCGAGTAATGCCATAAATACCGAACAGAATGCCGCAGCCTTCTTGTATAGGTGGCAATCGTCCGTCACCTGGTTCGACGTGAGGAATACGGTTATTGGAAATGTGAAGATTGTGACTCCGACTTGGAAAAACCGTATAATCGGAAAGATCTTGAAAAGTGTTTAAAGGAAACCCCACAACAATTGTACCATAAATTCAAGAAAACTTGCCAGAATTGCAATTTTATAACGAGTTTTCGTTTGTATCCGCATTCAATATCGATAAATTCGGACATCGTTCCTATCATGGAGATTATCGTTCACCTACAATGGAGCAAATACTATCGAGTGTTTGGCGAATGGAAATGCTCGAGCTGTCAAAGAGGGTGGGTAAGCGCTTATACTTGGATGTCGGTCCAAAAGTTTATCGAGGAAATCGAAGGACCACAGTTGACTCAACAAGATTATTCGATGCAAGACTGCATGAGATGCAAAGGTCGCTCAAACAGCATCACGTCCTATAAAAACCTCTAGAAATCGGAGAGAGCTCTCCGCCACATAAAAGACACTTATGTGAAAAGTGTAAGAGCGGTGAGCTTTGTGCTCCCACCGGCTATTACTTGGGCCGTAAGAAGTTGAGTAAAAAATAAAAGGTTTTAAATTTTTTATTCGTTTTTATCTATGCTTTTTCGTCATTATTTATGTCTCTTTTTTTCTTTATTAATTAGTTACCGAATTCACATCTTACGTAAATATAACCAATGCGTCCCTTCTTGTATATATCAGATATTGAATGTTTGATCATACGTATTTGAGTATCAATCCATTCAACCATTTTTACGATATTTTTCCCGACAATTAATATAATGAATAGACTGCGAGAAGGTGGGATTTTGTTGCTTTTATAAGTGTATCTTAAGTGTTTTAACAGTACTTCAGCAGTACTTTAACCATACTTTAACCATATATCTGTGATTATATTAAGATCTATTGTATAATTTATTGTTTTTCCAACCACACTTCAACATTGTCCCAACCATGCTTTAACCCGTATAAACCCAAAAATTCTAATTTATTTTCTATCTTCGTTGTTATAACCAATCATATATTAACAAATAAACGCATACAGATCAACATCCTGATTGACGTTCATTCACTTTCTACCCACGCTTCATTTTTTCTGCGAAAGTATACGCTATTTGATTTGAGTAAGACCATCGGCTCTAGGAATTATTTATTTCTAACGGCTCATTGGATAGCGTTGCTTTTGATTTCTCCACCTATTAGTAATACACGAAAAGCTTTCTTTCTCGTTTCACGTTTTTACTATAGAGTTATGGGTTGTCTTGAGAAGGAATTAAGCAAGCAATGGATACATTGATTAGTAAATGAAACGAACCATCCACCATGAAGCTCTCAAAGCGGAATATGCATAAGAAATTAGCTAGATATGCCAAGAAAGCAAAGCTCGGAGAACAACCTAATCCAACAATAGAAATAGAGACCAATCCTATCTTCGATATCAGTAACGAAAAGGATGGTGGAAGCGACCAAGACTACTCCCCTCACAAATAAATATTTTATAATCCAAAAAAAGTAAGTTAAGCAGTATATTAGTTATATGTGGATATTAGGGATCACAAAAAACTGATCCGAAGATAGTGATTTGAGCTGAATTAAGTCAGTCAACTCAGTCGATTAAGTTATGCAGGGGTCAACTGAGTCGACTTAGTTGATATATAATGCGAAAAGTGAATCTATGCCCGGTTTGAATCATGAGATGATGGTCACGTGACAAGTCAATGTAAAATCCAACATATGTCGTGTAACCATAATGCAAAGATATTGAAATATTTCGA